TATATATATATATATATATATATATATATATATAAAATATTCCTGCACTTTATAGTAAAAGCTGTGGGTGAAATGCACAGTTTGTGAGACTGAGACAGGCCATTGACCCAGGTGGTGCATTTGCCTGATTCCATGACTTTAGTGAGTTATAGCAGTTGAGATCTGGAGATCAGGTCCTGTACCGCTGAAGTGGAGAAATGCCCCAAATATCACCCTACAAAGCTCAGAATGAAACATCTTGATTTCAGTTTTTTGTAAACTGGATTTCTGGAATTAGACTAATGGAGGAAATGGAAATTCGAGCAGGATGAAAATGGAGGAGACCAATACTTTTTATATCCTTTCAGGGGAAGGGTTTTTAGGTGTATACAATCCTGACCCAGAACTGTTGCATCACCTCATTGTGCCAAGTGAGATTTCACCTCCTCACAAAAATGAGCCGGCAGCAGCAACAACAGCAGCGGCTGCTCTAGGTAAGGCTTTGCAGCCAGGTTGCAAAAAGGTGTCTCTATAAAATCTCTCTTTGATTACCAACATCAATCCTCAGCTAAACTGAACTCTCTCTGAAGTAAGCAGTTCAGAGCTAGAATCAAACTGAACAGAGCTTATCATTGTCCTCTTCAAATCCTTTGAAATAGTCCCTCATTCTTGGCTTAATCTAAAGTTTATTGAAATCAGAGGTAAAAAACCCACACACTCTAATGGACTTCTGCAGGCTTGAAACAGACTCTCTGTCACCATGAATCCAATAGCACTGTGTGTCCACAGCTGTTTCCCCATTCTACTACTGATCTGTGTCCTCCTTTCTTCTCACGTTACTGATTGAAATCTCAGCTAATATTTCTATTAGTTCCATATACCATTTGGATTGGTGATTCTCAGCCAGGGTGCCATGCAATCCTGTTAACAATGTTTCAGGGTCCCACATTAGCACTGTTAGGTGATTCACAAGATAAACCTAGAGACTTCAAGTAGGAATCTATAGTGGTAAACACAGTCTGACCTCCTGTGGTCTTTCTGAGATCTTTGCAACAGAAGAATTACTCTATTATTTTTCCATAATGATAGAAAACTATAAGCTGGCATTTTCTGAGCAGTGCCTTGAGTCTACAGAGGGATGCCTTGAGTCTGAAAAAGTTAAGAACGACTGATTTGGATAAACAGTGATTTTTCTGAGGTCAGGATAATTCTTTACTGGAGTTGGAACTACTGTTTTCAAAATATTAAGATAAAAACTTTCAGACTGAGTTGGCTGAAGTCTGGCACCTAAGTCCATATTTAGACACTTGAGTACAAGTTAATTATCGAAAGAGCCAAAGCTCCCACTGGAACTGAACAGTCCCTACATTGGACCCAGGGAACCTCTCTCATATTGGTCAGTCTTGCATATGCTTACAGTTATCCTTGTGCTTTATTCCCCACAATCCAGGGTACAGTTTCATTACAAAATTAAATGCTTATAAGAACTGGAAATTGCCAATGCTGCCCCTTTGGAAGAGGCACTTCAGCAGAGCAGTTCAAAAAGATGAAAAGATTGCGCCTAATGACATTAAGTCAGGCAAGAGCCAGAGTGGGAATCAACATTTATGTGCTCTCTTGACTGGAAACTTGGTTTACTTGAGAAACACAATTTGGCTGTGTAAAATTTAGCCACAAAAGAGGCAGGAAATGCTGTATCCTGCAGCAATCCTGTATCCAGAGCCATCTGCAGAATGCCCCTCACTCATTGAGATCTTTATTTTCACAGCTAAGTCTGGCAAGGAAGAACCTGGACCTTACTGGGCACAAAGCCAGAGGCCTTCCAACTCAACACCAAAAAGCACGTTTACTGGCATCTTAAATCCTACAACATGCATCATTGTTAATGCTACCATCCTGTTCATTGTTTCCAAGGACCATTATCCAGTTTATGATGTGTAAGTACAAATTCTGAACCCAGCAGGGCTTTGCTTATCCATATAAATCACAGTGAGCTTTTCCATAACCCTCAACCTAGATTTAAGAGCAAAACACTGGATGGGGGGAAGAGGAGAGAGTGGATTTTCCTTCTATTAGAGCTGCATTATTTTTACAACATATTCTGTAAGTACCCTTAGCCCCACTGACTCCATTTTTGGCAAGGAGACAGACAGCATTTGTTCCATTTATCCGTCTATCAGCTTCTCTCAAACAGTCCCTGAGCATACCCTTGTCCTAAAGATGCTCAAAAGTTTTCTCTGGTGTGTGAGGTCCACTTTAAACCCCAAATCCAGTCTTAGTGAGATGAAACAATTCTAGTCATAAGGAGCCTTCTCTTTGCTACTCTTCTGTTTGCTGTGACTTTCCCATGATTTAGTCACCTTTTGATTTAATTTCTGGTATTCATGCTTGTTAATATCAAATGGATAACCTGGAGGACATGGTATTTATAAAAAAAAAAAAAAATCAAAAACTGCACATAATTCCCCATTCTCCACACTCATTAATTCACAGGCTCTAGTGATGTGTGCAGAGAGAGGGTCTTCAAGCCACAGCTGCTCATGAGCAAACTTCTGCAGTGATTATAAGTATTTGCATCCTCCAAAAAGGAAGCCAGGAACTAACCTTTTTTTTGCTTCTGTCCCTAGAAACAACCTGTACAACACAAACCATGGATTTGACTGGGGAGGATTTCGTCGCCTGGCAGAAGACGTCAGCATGGCCTCCTCTGCTAACTTCCATCTCCTCCTTTACCAGTTCCAGCATCCAGGAGTCTATGTCATTGGGTTAAGTAGCAATCACCACAAAAAAATGGTTCGTTTCAGGGAATAAATTTGCTTTTCTGGTACCATTTTCCATCATGTTCCACATAATGGCCTCATATCAACAGAAATGCTAGCATTGCAATGAGTCTCTTTGTATATTATATGCATTAAGTAGTGGTGCTACAGTGTGAACTGGGGATATGAGTATATAGGTGGACATTTATGAGTAATGTGTGGGGGCGTGCATCCGTGTTACTTTTGAATGTGAAAAGGTGGGGATGCAGTGAAGATTGGGTCCTCTGTGTAGAATACAAACCTGCCATTTGTGTTCAGATGCATGGACCTAATGTTGGGTATGTGTGACCTGCTCTTCCTATCTCTGCGCTCATTTTTGCATAGTACATTAGAGTCATGCCCTATGGTGGACAGTGCTATGAAGAAGGACCGTTCTTCTCCACAGCTCCCAGGCATGTCATACAAGCAGGCATTGCAAGAAGCTCAAACCTTCCTCTGAAACCAGACTGGCCAGCTATTATTGGATTAACAATAGGTCTTCTCGTTTTCCTCATTGCTTCTCTTTTGCTCAGTGTAAGTAGAAGTTATACACAATCACTTTCCCCTGGACACTAAACCTAAGCACAACATAGCTAAAACGAGCTTAACTTTTTTCTCTTGCACCTCACTTCCAAATCTTAGAATTAGGATTAATCTGTATGTTGTACACACACAGCAGAAATTCATTCCTGTGCAGGCATTTGGCACTGCCCTACACACCAGATAAGCCCTACTGTGTGTTTCCGTAGTGTCCAGGCTTCATTTGGGCACTAGATGATATCATTCTTGCTTTCCAGCTCATTAGATAAAGACCTCAAGGCTACAGAGACTGGCACAATAAAAATCACAGAAAGAGAAAGGATTAGGTAATATGCATAGTCCATGAGGCTATAAATCAAACTTTGGTACCTGAAGATGCATGTGTTTCAGCCCCTATTCTAATGCTCATATTCTATTGCAAAGATGCTATTTAATTAGGAAATCATTGATCCGTCCACAGTGGGTGGGGAGAGGGAAAATTTCATATTATTAAATGCTCACTGCTCAACAATTCATCATCTAGATGCTGCCAAGTGTCACTGGGATGTTGGATGTTTCTTCAGGAATTGCATGATTCTCTTTCACAAATAAGAAAGCCACTGATTAGCCTGAGTACGCTTCTATTAAGGGCTGTCTATAATGAATAAGTCTTCAAAGTGCCTGTTAACAAAGAGCCTATTCTGTGCTCCTTACTCAGACACATTTCCCACTGCCTGCAGCAAACAGACGGCAGAGACACTATAAGTAACAGAAACAAGGTCTTTGCAACAGGGTCTGCCTCACATTTTGGGTTTGTGCAGTGTCTAGCACAAAGGGGTCCTAGTACTGCTTGGAACTTTTAGCAAGTATTGGAAGGTAAATAATAATCATAGATATTGATGCAAAATCATGGATGATCAACAGTCATTCAGACATTAGCAGAGCCAGACTGACGAGGACTGTAATTTCTGCTCCTTGGTTCATGCAATATTTATTAAGACTTGTCATTTGCTTGGTTTAGAACCGCTTATTCAATGCTTTGGGTTACAGTTCCTGGATCAGATCTTCAGTGGGCTGAGGCTGATTTATACCAGCTGAAGGCCTGGCCCAGCATGCAAAGGTACATCCTTATGGCACTTCACTGTGTTTTGTAGCTTCTTTGTCAAGAGCTTGGTTGGGCCAAGAGAGGAACTACATGCCCCCCATTTCGAAGGCTGCAGCTGAAATATAACCTGGACAAATATTCCTCCAAAGGATCCACAGTGATTTCGGTTAAAAAATATCATCCCATACTACAGAACAAAGGCAGCTTGGACAACAACTCTGACAGCACTGATGGTACAGAAGGTCAGATGTTAAAAAAAGCATGATGTAAACCATAAACATGGAAATGGATCAAATGCACTGTATGTTCTGCTGACTGCATTACTACTGATGATGTGCAATGGCTACAATACTCTAAAATGCAACTTCCTGCTCTCTGACTTACTAGAGGTTATAATAGAGAGTGTGTTTGGGGCATGTTTGCAAGTGGTTTTCTGGTTCCCGAACCTCTTTTAAGAGTAAAACTAATACTAAATAAATATGTTCATTTTAGCTTTCTTCCTGGAAAAAGGGGAAATGTGGGTGTCTGAAGAACAAATTGACTTGGACTCATTCAATACCAACATTTTCTTTGAAATCCTGCTGACACAGTCCCTGTCAGTAACGGCTAAACTGAGTCAATTCAAAGAAGAGGTAAGCCAACCATTTCTGAATGTGCTCACATGAATGTACAGATGATTGTAGCAGGCAGATGCAAGATTCCCTGCCATGTTGGCTTAGGATTAGAAAGAACATTTTTTCTTCAGTACCATGACCCATTAATGAGTATGCATATCATTTATAAAAAATAGCAGTATTGACGTAGCACACAGCAGGGGGTGGGGGGTTTGCCTGGGTGTAAGAGCATCTCAATCCTCTTCTCAGTCTTGCCAGTGAGCTGCTGAGTGATTATGTACAAGTCAATTCACCTTTCTGCCTCAATATCCCATCAATAACTGGGAACAAGTCTGGCTTTTGGTCAAAATCCCTGAGAGAGATCAAACTAGAGAACTCAAAATTGATATACAGGCAGTCCTCAGACTTATGACACAATTGGTTCCTGAAAGCTGCATCGTAAGTCAAAGTGTCGTAACTCAGAACCGATTTTCCCACAGAAAACAATGTTATCAATGGGGGATTGGTTCCTGAACCAAGGCCCAATACCCTATTTTCACCAAAAAGAACCCAGAATTTTGTACTCAGTCAATTATAGATGAGTAATATAGCTACGTGAATATATTTATATGGTAAATAGCAATCTTACTGATTCGGAAGGACTTCTTTGAGGTGACTTGGCTGGACTTTTTGAAGGGCTCCTGGCTGGAGTCTTCTTGGGAGTCTTGGCTGCAGGTTTTTCTGGAGTCTCGTCTGCTTTCTTAAAATGTCCAGGGAAGTTTGGACAGATGTTGTCCAGGGAGATGGGCGATGCAGCGAAGTTGTTCAGTGGAGTGGCGTTGGATCAAGCGTTGTAAAGTCGAAACTTGTAAAGTCAGAAAGTTGAAACGGGGTGTGAATTTATAAACTCCGTAAGTGAGAAATGTTGTAGCTCAAAACGTTCTAAGTTGAGGACTGGCTGAAGACAGAGAGAAAGACAAATATAGAGCACAATTCATCATTCTGGTGTTGCAGCTGTATATGAATGCTGCACAGTTAAAATCAGTGCCTTATCACCAACATAATTCTGGAGTAAGCGATGAATCGGGCTGCTGATCTAAGACCACGTGCATGTTTCTGTAGGATTTTTAAGGACAGTAGGGGGAGCTAATAGTGCAGTCTGTTGCATGTATACCGTGTAGCAAGAGACAATTGTATAAGACAGATGTTTGTACGCTTCTTTATTGACATGCATATTTTAATGCTTCACGGTTCGTTTTAATCTGAGGTCTGTGTTAGGGCACTAGTGTGTAGAATAATAAAAGATCTTGAAAGGTAAAATAGAGATAAAGAGGAGGCAGACTGAAAATTACTTGCTGCCTCCAAACACCTGAATGCCTGACAACCCAGGCCCACAAGCTGCTTCCCTTTAATGAAACTGCCTGCATACGGCCTTGCCAGGAGTGGCATCCTTATGTCATCCAGTCTGTGTTTCTAACGCTGCAGCATCAGGGTGAGGACTCTTTCACAAAGATTGCTTTCAGGAACTGTATCGAGTATGGAAGGATGTGCTATTAGCATCAGCTATAATATGGGAGCACCTAGATGCCCCAGTCCTCAAGCAGGCACCCTGTGCTAGACGCTGTACAAAAGCACAGAACAAAGATGGTCCTTGCGCTGAAGGTCTGAGCATCTCCCAAAAGGCTGGGTAGCAAAATGATTATATTACTGTGCCGTGCTGTACACGGAGGGAGCTTTGTGTGAGCAACATGATTCTTCATTGTAAGGTGAAGTCAACCAACATGAACATATTTTAAGACGAATCCTACGCCTAAATGGAGTGTAATCATTTAAGGAGGCATTCATTTTGTGTAGGGAGTTTAATGGGTACTGGGCATTAAGATGGACCCAGACCAACAGTCGCAAGCCCCATGTGTTTAGTTTTCATTTTCTATCCTCCTCAGCTGAAAACCTTGTATCACAAGCTTATGAATGAAATATCATCTCTTAAAGAGCTTTGGATAACGAGACTCGGTGTCCCAGAGGAGATGGAGCCTTCCGACAGCATAAAAATGGGGACCTATCTGCGAGCCAAACAACAGGTAGCCCTCTGCTTCATTCTTACACACAATTACTGAGATGTTCACCAGATATCTTCAGAATATGAGACGTGGTCATGCTGATTCACTCTTTCCTCTTGTTGTGTGGCAGCCTCATGTTTCCAGAGGCTAAACAGTAAACATTTCTGCTACATCTGTGACTGATGTGCAAGACCAGACTAGATCACTTAAGTGCTTAAAATTGTTGGCACGACTGAATATTAATGACGAGACACATTTCTGAACTGTTAGTCCCTTTTTTTGGAATGCCTTACTTTACCCACTGTCCAGTGCTTCTCCCTTACTACTTCAGGGAGACCATGATTTTGCTTCTGCAGTAGCAAAAGATTTGTCTGGAAATGTCCTCCCTTTCCATGCATGTTTCTGTATTTTCTTTGCAGCCACCTTTTCTATTTTCTTTGCAGATATTGTCTCTGGCTGACTTGCCCCGAAGTCTGCAAAGGAATGCATTAAAGCCACTCTTTATAAATAGAAATAGTGTCACTGGCTTGCAAAGACATATATGTACAGGCATGCAGTAAGATATAGAAGCAAGCAAACTCAGTCCATTAAGATGCATTTTAAATGTTCTAGAGGACATGTTTTAAATGCCACTTTTATTTAGCAGACCATTTGGGCGTGAAAACTTGGAGGTCACTTGTACTCCAGGTAATTATTAGCCAACCCATTAGCATTCTTGGCCTTTGGCTGCCTTAGTAAAGATAGATACCCAACCGTGACTGCTTTTTCCACCTAGTCACTGTTCAGTAAAAAGGCCTGGGACAGAAGTTTCATAACCTGGTTTGACCCAAATCAAAGTCTGATACTACATTCAACCAGGTTTATCTTAAACCAGTTTCAGCCATTTTGAAACTGGTTTATGTGCACTGACCTTCTGTTCCGTTTCAGGTTTAAACCAGTTTCTGATGACTTCAACTGGTTTATGTGTAACTTCTGTCCCTAGTCTAAAAGACTGAGTAGCTGCATGAACTTCTGTTCATGTTTTGAAATAAGGGTGTCTATATTTTATAATGTAATTAGGCAGAAGAAGAGATCCTGCACAGAAAACGGCTAGCTGCTGAATATGAGGAGAGTGTGAATAAGCAACTTCACTTATTACACCATGATCTGAAGTGCCAGGAAGAGCATTATGTCACATTCAGTTCTGCCCTGAGAGAGGCAGTGAGATTAGCGGAGATGCTGACAGACAAGATAGTTTGTGGAGGAGATAGAAGCATGTGGTCTAAACCAGACTGTCAAAGGCAAGTACTTGGCAATAAAACTCTATTTTAGGTGATTTCCCTCTAGACCGTCAAAGCAGTTGTATAGTGCTGGGCCTGAGGGTTGATTGTGGGGAGCACTAGTGTAGAGCTGGAAGGGTTGATGTCTGCTTCTTGAAATCACAGGGGATGAAAAGCATCATATTTGTGGAAAGCAGGGCTGGGAAATGAAGAAACAGATAGCTGGGCATATTTAAAAGGTGCCAGTCAGACATTAAGGTCCAAAGAGGTTTGGATTCCTACATGATCTCTAACGAACTGTTTCCAGCTGAGGTGCTATCCCACAGTGAGCCACTTAACAAGGTTTGGAGGTGCCTGGTCACTGTGTCAGAATTACCCTGGGAATATCATAAAATGATCTGAAAGTAGGGGGAGTTTAAAAAAATGCGATTTTTATTTTTTTTTACCTTGCGTCCAGATGATTAACAAACATGTCTATCCTGTTGCAGGTTATTATCCCAGATAGATGCTGCAAGCAACAAAATGTCAAGTGCAATTGTAAAGGAGAGCCACCGACTGAAGGCATGGGGTGTCCTGGGAGAAGGAACTGGCGCTCACCTTGTTAACAAAGATAAAACCAGGCTGCTCACCAAGGAGGAGCTCATGGGTAACTACAAGCTCTGAGACCCAATAGATCATCACTCCATCAGCCCACATGTGCAGGCAGGTAGCTGCAGGTGTAGCTCACAGGTTCAATGCCCAGCTCTAAATTCTGGCTCCTGTAAGAAGTTAACAGCTGAGTATTGGTGTAGCTCCGGTGCTTACGCTTTTAAAGCCAAAAAAGGTCCTCCAGTCAGCTCCCAATAGTCTCATGAATCAGGTGGTGATTATTCAAGTGTAGCCATCTACAGGACTCTCCCTGAGCACTGTCTCATATGACAACGGCTAGTTTTTTATTGTTGTTAATTGGTCCTTTGATTAAAACATGCCGTGCTATTTGGTACTGGCTTTGTTGCATAAAATGGAAGACAGATGGAGATGGAAAGAAACTATTTTGCAGCTGAGTTGAAATACATTGAGTTTATTCATGCCCATCTGAATATTTGGGGGTTTTCAATGTTGCTTTTCCTTTTGTAAAATTAACTATTAGGAGATCTAGAGGTCAAGTAGAGGCATATGTTTACTGTCATGTTAATCAATGGGAACAGTTGCAGCGTGAAATCTATCTTGGGTATTTGCACGCATGTCCTGGCAGCATCACTGAATGGGTGGAAATGTCAGTTTGCTAGCTGCGTTCCTGCAGTTGCATAAACTCTTTTAACTTCATGTGATTCACCCAGAGTTACTGGGAGAGAAACAGAACTGTTGTCATTTGAAGACACCTTCACATGAGCTTTACTGCGGAGTTGACTAATTAGCTTCTCAGGAAAGCATCACTGTCTACACATGCACCAGCATTAGTGCAATGAATTAACTCTGCTGTAAGACAGTACTGTCAGGGATAGTGCTATTTTATGGCGGAGACATTTACTGCACAGGAAGCACACGTGGATGGTGACTGGGACCGAAGCCGCTTGAGCCAAGGTGGAGCAGTCCTGGGCCGGCAGCAGGCCTGGTGGGGTTAGCCACTTGGCTGCACACTTTGAGCACTCTCATGCCCCAGCCAGCCCTGACACTGCCCGGGGCTGACCTCCTGAGCCTGCTGCCAGCCGCAGGACTGCTCTGCCCTGGCTCAAACTGCTGCGGTCCCAGGCACACGCAAAGACACGGCCCAGGAGCAGCTGACGGGTGTGAACTGTGCCAGAGTTTATTGAGGCGCAGTAATTGCACATATAGATGTGCCCACCGAAACACTCTTCCTGTAGAGAATGTTTGCTAAAGTCAGTAAGGAAGCTGATCTCTAAGGTCTTTGTCTCCTTCCTAAGCATCTGACTGACATGTGATCTATGATCATAGGCAGAAATGTCTGCACAGACATAGCCCTAAAACACACAGATTTGGACATTCAGATATTCAAGGATTAATGGAGGGTCTGTTTCTTCTTGTATCTGTACTTGCTCTTCTCAGGTCCAGATGGCTCCATGAGGGCACTCGATGCTGTGTGCATAGATCCTACCACTGGGCTCTTAACTCCCGACCCAGAATGCGTCATGCTGCTGGCAAATCACTGCCTTGTGCCTGTGTCTAGAGATCTGTTTCTGCACCCGGAGACTGGAAAAGTGCTCCCTGTGGCTGGTAACATTGGCTATGATCCCATTAGCTCTAAACTAGTCTGTGCTGTTGACTCTACTTCAGGTAAGACCACATCAGGTTACATAACACACCCACTTGCCTATATGTGGGATATAGTTGTGATACCAGGGGATTTGGGGGAAGCCTCATGTGATTCTATATACATTTTTTCTTGTAGCAAAAACCTTACATGCAGGTTGATCCAAGTCTTCCTCTGTGCTTGCATGGCACCAGCAGGAGATTTTGCTCATCACAAAACAGATCTTGCTGTGGACAGGGTTAATCAAGCATACAAGGCTTACATACATCAAAACGTTTAAGTATTTCCACTAACCAATGCCTTTTCCCTTTCTGCTCATTAAATTGTACAACACTTTATATATGAAGGCACTTGCCAGATCAAGGAAATGGTGAAAGCTGAAATTAATCTGAGAAGAACTCTGACTTGCAGAAAAGGGAATGCTCTCCCTTAATCTAATTCTGAAATTAAGGGAAGAGAAATTTGTAACATGGATGTCCTTTGAAACCTCTGCCCTATCTCTGACACCAAGGCTTGATATTGCCATTCAGGCTGTAATCTCTGGGGGCTAGAATGCTTTCTAACTTTGTCCTAACTGTGTCTTCTGTTTCAATATTCAGGTGAGCTGCATAAGTCTGGAGCACCCGTATTCCCCTATGTCCCATATCCCATCTGTCCCAGTACAGGTTTGCCCGTGAAGACTAACCTGCCAGTTCTCCACCCGGAAAAAGTTTTTAAGCTGGGAGGACTCATGCTAGATCCAGCCACAGAAATAGAGGTGCCAGTGCTTGCAGTTACCATCCATCCCCAAACAGGGCAAAAGCTGTCCTTGGGTGGGACATACCTAAATCCCCTTACGGGAACAGTGACACCACTCGAACTTGGAGGGCCCATGAATGAGCCCAAGGGAGGAAAAATAGTTCCAATCCTTGGAGTCAATGTGGACAGTAACACGGGTGAGTGTGTTACGGGGATGGAAAACCACAGCGAGGGCATTTCTTTGTCCCCGCCTCGCCCACGCACATGGCCAGTCACCATGTTTACAGCATTGAGACAGATGCTCTCCTACACAACAGGCATATAGGACTTGTAGGGCATCTCTGCGCTGTCTTGTTGGCAGCCTGGGAGTGCAGCCAAGATATACACCCCTCCTACTCGCTCATGCTCAGCTCATGCCAAAGCCTGTTAATAATTAGGCCATGTAGCCAGTTTAGCGCAGCCCTGAACACATGCCAAGAGGCATGGCTGAAACAGAAACCTGAGAGTGGCTATGGCATGCACTAACTGGCTATCATGCCTGTCTGGGCTTTGGTGCACTCCAAGAAAGAGGGAAGGCAATTGGGGAAGTGTCCCAGTGCTGCTTTTGGCTTTGCCACAGAGGCAGTATAGTGTAAAAACCCATCTGGCCAGGACCCCAGAGACTGCATACTACATCCTAGTAAAAGCAGAGACTCACTGAGAGCTCTGCTCTGCGTGGATGCGTACTGGCACTTAGCAGAGGAGGTAGCTGCAGCCTTCCAGGGGTATGCTACTCCTCACAATAGGAGCAGCGTTGGATTCACCACTAACCTCCCCTCTTCATGTTGGGCTTCTCCTGGGGAGGCAGATACTCAATAGCTTTCACTTTCCCAGAACCTCATTCATGGTATTATTGTCTTAAAATCAATAAACTGCCTCGTTTTTCATAAAGATGACAAAGAGAGGAAGAGACGGTGATAGACAACTCTAAAGAGGGCATGTATTCATTAATTACATGGGGAGAAAAGCCTACGAAAGCTCTCTTGGAGATGGTTCAATCGCTGCATTAATAAAATTAGACCGGTATGAAATCTGTTCATTAGGATCGTTCAGGCTACATTTATAGAATGCATTTTTCACACCTTCTTTGTTCTTTTATAACTGAATTTAGAAATCATCATAGTTAAAACCAGAGCAAACCACATGTGCCCCACCAGGAAGCATGACAGGACTCCAGCGGCACTGTTGCTGGAAGGACAGTGCAGTATATATATTGGGGCCAAACTCCCAGCCAGTATAAACAGGCAAGCTTCACTGCCAATGTGGAGATCATGAAGCTCTTCCCACCGCAAGCCGTGGTTCAGGGCCATTGGATAGGAATGCAAAAATACATTACCCAGGCCCTTCCCACATTGCCTTACTTTTCACTTTTCATATTATCAAAAGAGACCTTTATTTAATGCCTTCTCTAACAATGGAGTAAGTCTGTCTAGTCTGATCCCTGACAAAAGATTGCCAACGGAGAGCTCTAGTGAAAAATAATGATTCTCTCAACTATTAGCTTAGATCAGGTTAACCTTAACCCTAACGGCTCCAAGGCTCTTTTATGCCAATTAAAAAGCTTCCTATTTCATAGGCTTTGCTGGGATATCACTCCACAGCATAGAAATACACCTGTTTTTCTAGAGTGGAAACTAAGTGAAGCATTTAAAATATATTAAAATGATAAAACCTTCTAAACCAAGACCGATTCCAGTCAGTGTTATGATACATTTTATGTGTTCACTGATCCTATTCCCATTGAAGTAGATTGAATTGAATTTCAGAGGAACAGCACCAGGATGGATGATGTTCTGATTTTCCTTTCTCTACCCCTTGGCTACAGGAGATGTAATCCCAGTGGGGGGGCTGATGGGACCCTCAGGGAGCCCGATTCTTCTTGGGGACTCCTTCTCTGAGCCTCTGAGTGGGAAGCCTGCATGTGTGCATGGTGCTTTCCTTCAGCAAGATAAAGTGCTGCCTCACGCCGGAGGATACAAGGCCCTGCTGGAAGCCAGCATGCTTGTAGCCCAGATGCACGTGGTTAAAACCCTGCGGCAGTACCAGGATTCAATTTGTGAGGATTTGTCTGTCACTGTGGACAGGCAGAGAGTCCTGAAGGCTGCCATAGAAGACATGAAGAAGACATTATCCATCAGGCTCCATCACGACATGCACTGGCTGCAAAGTCTGGAGACACAACGAGACATAGCTTCAAGCCTCAAAAGCAATGGTGGCAAATTGGGTATGTTTTCTGCACAAAACCCATTGGGGTATTGTACGGTTAGAAGGAGCTGGAAGGGTCACCTAACCCAGCTCCCTTCAGAGGTGCAGGATTTGCTGCTTCTGAACCATCCCATGTCCGTGCCCAGCCTCCTCCTGAACACCTCAAATGAAGGCAATTCCTGCAACTTCCCTGGGTAGCTCATAACATCTTTTTCCACTGAAAAATGATGAACCACAGCAAAAGTAATCTTCTCCTGTTGCAGTGACCTAGAGGTAAAGTCTCTGTTGGGGTAAATGGATGACCCTCCACTTAAATCAATGGCGTGATACCCATCTCCTCAGAGGATCTGGCTTGAAGTTGCATGGTCACTTTGTGTCACACGAGGTTGACAGTGGGATGGGAGACACTTGGCGAACATCTTCCAGGTGTCATTTGGATCTGATAACCAAACTGACAGGATCTGAACTGCATCCCTTAGCCTCTGTCTGGTTTAAAAATGCATATTTATTTCTTCTCTCTTTTTCCACATGTATTAGGGATGATCAAATATCCTGGCACAGAGATGTGGATCCCAGCTGTGTTTGGAGTGAAAATCCCAGACCCTGGTGGCTCAGGTTTGATGGTGCCTATCTTGGGAATAGAACCTGCCTGGAACACCGGGCTCCCAACCCCGCTGGCAGGAACGATGGAAGATGCCGATGGAAAAGGTAGAGCAGAAAACTGGTCCATACAACACAAAGCCAGGGGAGGCAGTGGCTGTGCTATCGTTGGCATCTCTTTCATTGTGAGAATTGATAAAATGCATTGACAAAGAATAAACTGACATCCTCATGCAAAGTCAAAGGCAGCTTCAGGTTAATGGGGAGAGAGAGAGACTGGAGTGAGACCCTTTTAACCTATGGAAACAGTTTGCCCATGTATGTCTACATCCCTGTACTCGGGCAGCATTTTTAATACTTCTAAAGTACAGATTAGTGACCCAGTGGGGCTTGCCTTAGCTGCTCAAGAGCTGGTTCTTGCATTGGCCAGAGGGGATCACTAGAAAAAATAGTCCCAACAGGGTATGTATTGCCTTTGCTGTGTGGAGATGTGTTTTCTTTTCAAGCAGGATAGTCGAGAGTATTGTCATTTCCTGTTACACTTTAATAAAAGTCTTTCCATAAGCTTGATGCACAAAAAGCTGAATGGCTCATGCTACTCATCCTCTGAGCCTTAAGTATTTTGTTCCACTATTTTGCCTGCAGGTCTTGTCCCCATCACCGTCGGTGCCAGAACAATAGATCCTGTCACAGGGGAGCCTGGCCCGGTTATAGGCACTCGAACCAACCCTTGGACAAACACGGTGGTTCCTATAGTTCAGTCATTGGGAGCTTTACCAAGAGGAGTAGCAGACCCAGATCTGGTAATTAAGAAGCCCAGAAAACTGCAGTTGTTTTACAGTTTTGACAACTTCAGGGAGTTGCTTGCTAGCGCTTTCAAACTGCAGGAAACTGTTCTTCTTGCTTCAGAGACTCAGCTAGATAGACCATAAGTATTTTTTTTTCTGTCAATAGATATGTTTGTGCCTGCCAGAGTATAAACAGATTCATATGGTGTCTGTGCTAGGCACATGAGTAATGCAGTAAACTTCCAGAATATAATGCTGTTTAGAGCTGAAGCTGATACAGTTGTGAATCCAGGATCGCTGGAATTTGGGAGGTGCTGGGAGGAGAGTGCTGCTACATTAATCACCTTTTTGAAAAGGGTTTGGTGGCCAGATGCATCTGAGAATCCACTTGGGTTTATTTTGTGGGATTTGGCATCTGTGGGCAGCAGCATGGGAGATCTGTAAAGCAGGTGTTGGCTGTTCCTAGCTTTCAGTGTCAGTAAGTAGAATTGTATGGCGATTTCCCATTGCAAATCATTCATCTCTGTAAAGCTACGTAAGCATTTATTTGTAGAAATCATGGGAAAAGTGTTTGCTCTCAGAAAACTATTGCTTATGGTATTTTTCAGCTGAATCTCCTGGAAAATGAGATAAATTCCAGACAAAACTATTGGCACTGCCAGAGAGAGAAGGAAGAATACCTTCAGAAAGAGCTGAACTTTGTATTTCTCGACATCCTTGATGCTGTAGAGGAAGGAAAGGTCAAAAAGGTGCAGTGGCTTTTGCAGCTTTCTTCAGAAAACATTTTTCCCTCTTCAAGTCATAGAATCATAGAAAATTAGTGTTGGAAGGGAGCTCAGGGGGTCACATCTAGTCCAGCCCCCTGCTCAAAGCAGGACCAGCCCCAACTACGTCATCCCAGACAGGGTATTGTCTAGCCAGGCCTTCAAAACCTCCAGGGATGGAGAGTCCGTAGCCTGTTCCAGTGCTTTACTACCCTCCTTATGAAAAGGTCTTTCCTAATATCTAACCTACATTTTCCTTACTGCAACTTGAGCCCATTGCTCCTTGTTCTGTCATCTACCACCACGGAGAACAGTCCAGCTCCATCCTTCTTGTAACCACCCTTCAAGTAGTTGAAGGCTGCTGTCAACGCCCCCCAAGTCTTCTCTTCCACAGACTAAACAAGCCCGATTCCTTCAGCCTTTCCTCAAAAATTGTGCACCCTAACCCCCTAAACATTTTCATTACCCTCCACTGGACTCTCTCCAATTTGTCCACATCCTTTCTGTAGTGGGGGCACGATGCACTGAATGTCCAAGCTGATGAATAGAAATATAGTAGCTCCTCTCTTGAATGAGCACATTTGCCACGTTCCTTTGTCAGGGCTCATCTATGCTGGAGATGCGGCTTCACAAGGTAGACGGACCAATGCAGCTCTGCCAGAATTACCAAGCTGTCCCTTTTTATGCCAGCACTCCCCAGACATTCAGAGTTTGCAATCCGCTTCATTAGTGCAATTACACTTGTGCCAAAATTCCTGGTACAGATGAGTCCATGATTTTGGTCTGTTTTTTTGAATAACTATACTCTTCCTAGTAGCAGAGAAACCTCCAGGGTGAGCATTTTCCAAAGCATAGTGAAGTCAATGGAAAGACTACCAACTATGATTGTATGCCTTGGGTCAATTATTGTATCTGCAATCAATAAGAGATTAAGAGGAGGGAGAAGGAGAAGGAAAAGGTTAGGAAAGAGCATAACCCCTCTGTCCAGCTGGATTCTGGCAGCTAGAGTAGTGAGAAAAAGGAAGCAAACAGAAAAGGCTTCTTTTTATAATACAGCCCTCATATTTGAACCTGGTGCCACGGGATATTATATCAATGGGAAAAGGAAATCTGGTGAGCCTGTAACATTATGGTTACATCTTTTTCCTGTTTCTTTTAGATCAGATACAAGGAGAAGTTAAAGGACATTGAGGAAATGTGCCATTTCCTTGAGGAATCCTCTCTGCAGGAAGCTCAGAGGAGAACTGCTCGGGACTTGAGCAGCTTACTGGGCCTGGAGCTATCTTTGCAATTGAAAGGTGGGAAGAGACAGAGACAGGCGGTGTTGTCCATATTGTGTGCCATGCACCCTCATGCAGACCTCAGCTTCCACTTAAGCACTCAAAACAGGGGGTGGGGGGGAAGTGGGATTTCAGTGATGCGTAAGCCTCATGTTGGCTCTCTAGACAGGGGAAAACTTCACCTCAAGCTGAGAAATGTCACTGCAGACCTGAAAAGTGCCATTGCACTGATATTGAAATGTCAAGATCCCCTGCAAATTCCTGCAGGAGCCTCCTAATTGCCTAATGAATGCCACGCTGTTCTGCTGTGACCATTTTGCAGCCTGCGATGCGTTTATAGATATCAGGGGTTTTTTACTGCATTGTGGTTTTGTAGAATTCAGACCATGCAGTGGATTCTCTAGGGCTGCCTGACGAGCTGAAAGTGGAAAAAAATGGGAGAAAGAGTCTCATTTTTTCTCCACCATATCCCAGAATCATCAAAACTAAGGATGAAAAATCCCTGTTCAGATACTTAACCTATTGCTTTCCATCCATCTAAGAAATTGTTTAGTTCTCCTCCTATGCTGACTCATTCATACCTGCTTTCTAAGTTCCCATTAGACCCATACCTGAGAGCCGCCAATTGCTAATATTTGGTATCTGCAGTCAACAGAGATGAGAGAGAACAAGAAGTGAAGCTTCTGCTGGTGATCAGAAAGATGCTGGAAAAACTGATGGAGTTTATTAAAAAGATGCAGCTGGCAGAAAGCCGGGTGCAAATTCAGCTGAAGGAAAAAGAACTGCAGAGGAGCAAAAACCCGAAAGCAGAGACAGCGAGGAGCCTCAGACCCAGGAAGGTGATGACGCTGGGTTGGGTTTAGTATGTATAGCCACATTCTTCAGGCCATCTCCCCAACACCGTAGCAAGACCATTCCCTAACTAGACATTCAAGGGTTTCTTTCAACCAAGTGTCACATGTCTTTAGAGGTGAAGCTTCCTTGTGTCCTTGACCCAGTCCAGGCCTCATGGAGGAAGGCGGATCTCAAAGCCTGTGGGTTGGACCTTAGCCCAGTGCCTGTCAGGAATCTTGCCTTTTAATTTTACCCTGTTACTCTCATTTGTGCTCCCCCAGCCCAGCCATCTTGCTGTCCCCAGCAATTAGATCCTGGCAAATCATTGCTATGTCCCCACTCACTGCTCCGCATAACTGTCACAGTTATTCCCTTCAGTCTTCCTCTGTAAGATCCCTTATTTATCTTTCCCACTCTCCAAAGCACTTGCAGTTGTTGTGATTTCTGTAGTAATGGGAGGCCAAAAAGTGATGCACGAAACTGGGTTGTGTCACACCCACATTAGAGCAAGTCTTCCGGGTGATCGCTCACG